CAGGGGATGTCTTGGGATATAGAAATATGACCTGAGTGAGTGAACTTATATCTATTGTATTATATGTAAATTTTTAATTAGAAAAACCTCTTGTTTAGGCGTGTGTTTTTGTAAATATTCATAAATTAGATTGTGTTATATAATAATGTTCTTTTATGGTTAATTTTAGTCTTAACATTGTATTGTGGGGTTCGAAATAGAAGTGGCGACCTAATGATGCATTGTGGCTGTAGCATTTTCAGTATGAGTCAAGTGGGGGTGTTACATCAGTCATCTTTATTTGAATAGTAAAAATTTTGACTTTGAATAGTTGTATTATGTGATATAAATAGGTGTTAATGTGATGTTTTGAATGTAAAATTGATTTTTAGTATAATATAAAAAATGAAAAATAGGTGTTTGATTTGATGTTTTTGGGGGAAAATTTTTGGATGAATAGTAGAATTTCGGTAAAATTCTTCAAACGAACAATTAATGAATTCACTCTCGTCTTAGGACTCCATGTTAATTATGCAAAATATGTTTGCCATGCGCAAACTTCATGCCAATACTACTGGTGAGTTAGCGGCCATCTTTACTATTCGGTTTGTTTTAGATCTATCTAATTATTTGGGTTTTTCCTATTATACATGGCCGATGCTCTAAGCGTCACTTCTAGCCATTAATCGACATAATTCAAAATAAAATATATACATGAATAATAAAATTTTATAAAATGCAAATGAGATAAATATATATATATACTTATCTATGATTAGTATAAATTGTTGAGATATTTTAGATATTCAGATTTAGTAGATTTATATCTAGATTTGATTTTATTCATAGATTAGATTACTTAGATTTGAGTCTATCGAGTCTATTTTGTATGACCTATATATAGGCTCCTTATTTTGACGATAATAAGACAATCTCATTATTTTCCCCCAAAATTTCTAACATGGTATCAGAGCATGGTTTTCCAAAACCAAAACCCTAGTCGTCGCCGCCGCTGTTCGCCGTCCATCGTCCGCTCTTCTCCGGTTGTCGTTTTTCTTTCGGTCGCCGCCTCCTGCTTTGTTCCTTACGTCGTGGTGTGGTTGGTTTTGTCATCGGAGTTTATCTCGTTTTGCGACTGCTACCTATTGGATTATTCGATCTACTTTTTTTTTTTGGGCTTTGATTTCGTGATTCAGATATTTTTATATGCTTTTTTTGTTATGGAGCGTATGGACGTTCATTTACCTATTACTACTATCTTGTCCGGCGATAATTATGATCTTTGGATGCAGTCTATGAAAAGTGTCTTGATTGGTAGGAAGTTATGGCGAATTGTCACTGGCGATATCCGACCACCTGTCTCTCCATCTCCTTTTGTGCATGTTGATCCCACCTCTCGGGAGCATGAAGATTATGTTGCCAAATTGGAAGATTGGGATAGTAAGAATCATCAGATTCTTACTTGGTTGCGCAATACTTCTGTACCTGCGATTCAGGTACAATTGACTCCTTTTGATACTGCAAAGGAGGCATGGGATTTCCTCGTTGCTCGTTTTCAGACTACAGGTCTTGCTCATTATTATCAACTTTGGACCACAATGAGCTCCGCCCGACAGCAACTTGGTCAGTCTGTTAATGAATTTCTTGCTCAGGTTCAGCCTATTCGTTATCGTCTCCGGCAGTCACAAATTAGTCAGGACCATCTTGACCTTATTCAGATCTTGATGGCCCTTCGACCTGAATATGAGGCTGTTCGTGCCTCACTCCTACATCGACATCCATTGCCTACTATTGATACTGCCATTCAGGAGATTACTTTTGAGGAGACCCGTCTCCAATTGGCTAAGACACCGAATTCTGATTCTGCTTTAGCTGTGTCTCGCCAGTCCCGATCTGCTCGTACTGGATGTCGAGTTTGCAAATCTCCTGATCACACTTGGTCTACCTATCCGAAGATTGAGTGCCACTCATGTCGTCTGCATGGCCATATTGCTCCGGTCTGTCCTACAAGATCTTCAACATTCAGGTAGTTCTGCTCCTAGACATTCCGGTAGCTTTGCTCCCAAACCTCGGGAGCCTAGTGGGTCTTCTTCGACTGCATTTTCTACGATTACGGCTGTTACTACTGATAAGACTCAGCATGTGCCTTACAATCCTCACGACATAGAAACCATCATCAAATAGGTTAAGCAAACCAATTCTGCTATGTCTACCACTCCAGGTACATCTACTTGGTATTTTGATTCTGGTTGTTGTCACCATATGACCTCTAACCCTCATAACTTGACCTATATGTCCCATGTCTCCCATTTACCACCCATACATACTGCCAATGGTACTATCATGCATATTACCCACACCGGTCTTGCGTCCTCCCCTTCCTTATATCTTCCTGATACATATTGCATCCCTGACTTAGCCTTAAATCTTATCTCTATTGGTCAATTAGTTGAACAAGGTCTTACCGTTACATTTTCTTCTGGTGGTGTGCAGGTTCAAGATTCTCAGACGGGTCAGCTTCTCGGGACGGGACGCAAAACGGGTCGGTTATTTGAGCTTGAGTCTCTTCATACCTCCTGCACATATCCCCGCTCTGCAGATCTTACCTCTGATTCCTTTAGTCTTCATTGGCATCTTCGCCTAGGTCATGCGTCTTCCAGTAAGCTCCAGTCACTTCATATTAAAGGTCTTTTAGGTCCAGGTCGTTTTGAGTCTTTTAAGTGTGTCGATTGTCAACTTGGCAAACAACCTACTCTTAGTTTTTCAGAAAGTTCATCTATTGCTACTGAACCTTTTTCTTTAGTCCATTCTGACATTTGGAGTCCTTCTCCTGTTGCTTCCGTCAGTGGTTTTCAGTATTATGTTATATTTATTGATGATTTTTCACGATTTACTTGGATTTATTTTTTGAAAAATCGTTCTGAATTACCTCTCAGTTTTCTCAGATGATTCACACTCAATTCTCCCGTCCTATTAAAGTCCTTCATACTGATAATGCTTGTGAGTACAATACGTCATCATTTTTGCAGTTTTTATCTAGTCAGGGTACCTTGGTACAGCGTTCCTGTCCTTATACATCCCAACAGAATGGGCGGGCAGAACGCAAACATCGTCACATTCTCGATACTGTTCGTGCCCTCCTTTTTGCTAAGTGTCCTGATCGTTTTTGGGGGGAAGCAGCCTTAACTGCTGTTTACAGCATTAATCGGTTACCCTCGTCAGTCTTCCATGATATCAGTCCCTTCGAGCGTCTATTTGGTCAGTCTCATGATTATAGTTTATTCCATCCATTTGGTTGTGTGTGCTTTGTCCTCCTTCCTCACCATGAGCAGACAAAGCTTCAACCTCGAGCTCGTTTATGTTTTTTTTTTTTTGTTATGGCGACGAACACAAGGGTTATAGATGTTGGGATCCTATTTCTAATCGGTTGCGCATATCTCGTCATGTCACCTTTTGGGACCGCACATATTTCTCCACCTTATCCAAGTTTAGCACACCGTTTCACTCATCTTCTCCCTTCTTTTCGTCTTCTCTCTCCGTTCTCTTCCCAGACACCTCTTCCTCTTCTTCACCACAGCTCATTGATCAATCTGTCTTGTCACCGTCTTACATATTCTTCGTTATGTGAAAGGTACTCTTCTGCATGGCTTACAGTTCTCCTCTAACTCCTCTTTGACTCTCAGTGGTTATTTAGATGCTGATTGGGCTGGTGATCCCACCGATCAACGCTCGACCACTGGTTTCTGCTTCTTCCTGGGTGATTCTCTCATTTCTTGGTGCAGCAAGAAGCAAACTTTAGTTTCTCGCTCAAGTGCCGAGTCAGAGTACCGTGCTCTTGCTGACTCTACTTCAGAACTTTTATGGCTTCGACGGCTACTCACTGACCTTGGTGCCCCTCAGCCATCTTCTACGGCTCTTCACTGTGATAGTCAGAGTGCTATGAAGATGGCCCATAATGATACCTTCCATGAGCGCACTAAGCATATTGAGTTTGACTGTCACTTTATTTCGACAACATGTTGTCAATGAAGTAGTTCATCTCATTCCAGTATCTTCTGAAGATCAGACAACAGATATCTTTACCAAATCTCTTCTTCCAGGCCGTTTCCGATTACTCTTGGACAAACTCAAGTTGGTCACTACTGCCCTATCTTGAGTTTGAGGGGGGATGTTGAGATATTTTAGATATTCAGATTTAGTAGATTTATATCTAGATTTGATTTTATTCATAGATTAGATTACTTAGATTTAAGTCTATCGAGTCTATTTTGTATGGCCTATATAAAGGCTCCTTATTTTGACGATAATAAAACAATCTCATTATTTTCCCCCAAAATTTATAACATAAATTAATTATATAAAACATGAAAAGTAATATATATACATACAGACAAGAGGTAGAAATAAAAGTTTTTGTATGAGTTTATATAACTCTAAGTATTTAATTTTTCTTTTTTTTTTTTCTAAAAAAAAAAAGAACTAAGAATACAATGTCAAATTAAATCGAACTCATAATAATCACTTTTTTCTTTTTGTCTAAATCACAACTAATTATACTCGTCATTTATATGTTTTGTTTTTTATTATATAATATAATTATTTTATTGGGGGGGGGGGGGGGGGGGGGAATGGGGGTTGTAATCGAATCACATGCATGGTCTAACAAACCAGATATGTTCAAATTCACAACCCAAACTGAGCACACCAAACATGTTCCAATGAAGCCGAAACAAATAAAAAAATTCATATATGGAGATCCCCAATGGGCGGATGTCTATAATGTTTTAATTAACTTAATAATTTTTTACAGTAAAGATTAAGAGATACGATGCAGCGACGGTTGTAGGTTGCGCCACGTGGCAGGGGCACTCCCCACTCTAAAAGTTGTTGCCATCGTCTAACTATGCGTTGCTCACCACGTGATCTCAGCTACCAAACCCTCTCTGCTCTCCCACACACACCCGCACGTATACATATACATATACATATACTATACATATATATATATATATATATATAGCCCTCCCTTCCTCACTCCCCACGGCAAAGCAGCAACCAAACTACAATCATCATATCCATACATACAGTCATCTAAGCTCATCTGTCTGACATTGTTAACCAATAACTACTTTTCATTTACAAATTTGTCGTGGAATCCATCGATCGAAGATGATGAGCGTTGAGGATATCAGGCGGGCACAGCGGGCAGAGGGGCCGGCCACCATCCTGGCCATCGGCACCGCCAACCCGCCCAATTGCGTCTACCAGGATGACTACCCTGATTACTATTTCCGCGTCACCAACAGCGACCACATGACGGATCTTAAGCAGAAATTCAAGCGAATGTGTAAGTACATATATATATATGTATATGATTAATTATTTAATTAGTTAGAGGAGGTTTGGTTTCATTTGCATGAGTGGCTTTACTTTACGTGTGTAATTTAATTTGAATTCTTTCTTTGTTTTTTTTTTATAGGCGAAAAATCGATGATCAAGAAACGTTACATGCACTTAACGGAAGATCTCCTGAAGGAGCACCCCAACTTCTGCGAGTACATGGCGGCGTCGCTGGACGCCCGGCAGGACATCGTGGTGGCGGAGATTCCCAAGCTGGGGAAGGAGGCGGCGGCGAAGGCCATCAAGGAGTGGGGGCAGCCCAAGTCGAAGATCACCCACGTCATCTTCTGCACCACCAGCGGCGTCGACATGCCCGGCGCCGACTACCAGCTCACCAAGCTGCTCGGCCTCCGCCCTTCGGTCAAGCGCTTCATGATGTACCAGCAGGGCTGCTTCGCCGGCGGCACTGTCCTCCGCATGGCCAAGGACCTCGCCGAGAACAACGCCGGCGCACGTATTCTCGTCGTCTGCTCCGAGAACACCACCATCACCTTCCGGGGGCCTAACGAGGGCCACCTCGACAGCCTGGTTGGGCAGGCGCTGTTCGGCGACGGGGCGGCCGCCGTCATCGTCGGCTCCGACCCCGTCGTCGGCGTGGAGCGGCCGCTCTTCCAGCTGATCTATGCGGCGCAGACCATCCTCCCCGACAGCCAGGGCGCCATTGACGGGCACGTCCGGGAGGTGGGGCTGACCTTCCATCTCCTCAAGGACGTCCCCGGCCTGATCTCCAACAACATCGAGAAGAGCCTCAAGGACGCCTTCGACCCGATCGGGATCTCCGACTGGAACTCGCTCTTCTGGATCGTGCACCCCGGCGGGCCAGCGATTCTGGACCAGGTGGAGGAGAAGCTGGGGCTCTCGCCGGAGAAGATGGAGGCCACGAGGCACGTGCTGAGCGAGTACGGGAACATGTCGAGCGCCTGCGTGCTGTTCGTGCTGGACCAGATGAGGAAGGCCTCCACCGAGAAGGGGGCCACCACCACCGGGGATGGCCTCGACTGGGGAGTGCTCTTCGGGTTCGGGCCGGGCCTCACCGTCGAGACGGTAGTCCTGCATTCCGTGCCGACCAACTAGCGACCGACCCTGCCTTGCCAGCTGGATTTGTTTCTTTGTTTCATAGTATAATTATTATAATCTGTATTATTATATAATAATAATCATAATATATATGCCTGCCTGCCTGCCGGTGATGGAAGAAGATTTGGCTTCAATGGAGATGGACGGGTAAGTACTGTGTTGCTGCTTAATGATTTTAATTATTATTATTACATATGTTACGCAAAATCCTTGTACTAAGTGAGCAAGTATATTTATTGTTTCCGCTGTTTCAATGAACTGATGAATTGAATAAATTGGGGGTGAGGATCTCAATGTTTATGACTACTTTTAATTTCATTTTACGTTTTCATTCTATAATTCTCAACTATTGCCTAGTGCACTTAACAACTTTATATTTATTTTTTTTATCTTATATTAATTAGCATTAAAATATTTTTATATTTAGATAATTTTTTATATCAATCTCATTATACTCTCTCCGTCCCATAACGAAGTATTCATTTTTTCCATTTTAATCCGTCCCATATTAACATATCCATTTTCGTTTTTAGTAACCGTAGTATCTACCTAACATTACAAATACTCTTACAACTTACAATATATTAAACAAATGTCATTACTTTTATATCACACATACTAATAAGGTTATTTTAATTATTTCTACTTTATTTCTACTATATCCCAATATAATACTAATATTTCTAAAACTATGTGCAAAAAGCAAATGAATATTTACTTATGGGACGGAGAGAGTAATAATTTTATAAGATATTAATAAAAAAAATTATTTCTTTTAATTTGTATTATGTTTTGATATAATAATTAATATTAAAAATTTAACACGCAAAAATCAAGTGTAAATTTTATAAATGGACAAAGGTAGTAATATTTCTTAACAAATTGTATTATTTATCTCACATAATATCACATGCAATTTTCCAAATCAAAAGGGAAAATCAAACTTCAATAAAGAAATCCCATACGCATACATAATATATTGTTTGTCTTTAATTTATTGTATTTGTATTTTTTTATTATTATTATTTTGATGACGTGAAAACAGCACCTGCTACTCTTCGAGTGCACTTTAGTAAATTCTCAGGAAAACTTAATATTCTGCCAGTAGAATCTGATAAAAAAAAATTACATTAGGTGAATTATATGTACAGATGACCTAAATGCCTACCCCTAGATTATACCTTAGGCTATGTTATACATCAGGCTTACCGGTGTGTTCTTTTATAAAAAAAAAAATGCACTTACGTTTTTCCAATATATTACATATATTTATTATTTTTTATAGTTTCTACATAATTTTTTATATTTCAAATAAAAAAAATAAAAAATATCCATTCACAAAACAAAGCCACCAACCGGTGTGCCCATATTTTTTGCTTAAAATATTCTGCTGGGCCCTCAGGATCCCGTCTTTAACATCCTCGCTATACATACATACATTCAATTAATACTACAGTCCGCCCCTAATATTTATATATTTTTTTTTTTTGTTTTTGAAATTCATATATATACATTTTTCTTAATAAGTATCAATCATATCATAAATTATGATATTTCTAATTTTATATTTAGATACAATTAATTCATATCATGAAATTTTAATAAGACCAAAAATATAATTATATAATTAAATATTATTAATTATAATTAAATATTAATATTTCTCAATTGTATAGCAAAAGCAAATGCCTAATTTAAAAGTGAAGAGCATTATTACTTTATGGAAATAAATCTATACTAATTATAGCTGATATATATCATATTACAAAAAAAAAAAAAAAAAAAAAATCGATAGAATAACATTCGTATGATATATTTTAAATTTAATGTTAACAAAAAAATATCAAAACTTATTTTTTAGTTACATATTATTACATAATTCCAATCAAGCATAATTATTAGTATAGAAGAAATATCTTTTTACATGAAATATAGAAAATTGTGTAGATAATATAACAATAATAAAGATGTGTAATATATTAATATTTTTAAAAATATATATATAAAAAAAATAAAAATAATCAACATTAAAATAGAAGCACACTATTTCATCTTTTAAAAACTTCACATAAAATTACTTTTTAAAACCAAAAATAAAATAAAATAAATTTCAAAAGAATAGACCTCTTCGTTTGCTTGTTGATTATGTAGTATATTTTTAGTATATTCAATATTTATGATTGTCTATAATATATATACTCATTCCATTCTTGTCTAAAGTATCTATTTGGATTTATGTTCTTGTCTAAAGTATCCGTTTGGATTTTTATAGTAATTTTTTTCAAAAATAGTATTATATTGGTGAATAGAAATATATCAGATAGTTTTAATATTTTTGTCTTTGTATAGTAATGATATTTGTAATTTATGTAAATACTAAAGATATTTTAGTATTAATATATTATTACTTTTTCTATAATAAGAAAAATATAGTTTTGAATAAGATAAACAAAAATGATAAAAATTTTACGTTTCATTGAGATGAAATAAGATTATTTTCTTTTAAAAATTTTTTTTTATACAACTATCTAAGAACTAAAATAATTAAATAAAATCATCAAATAAACAAACTATTATTTTTATACTTTTTTGCAATTATTTTTTTTAAATATTAAAAATTAATTATTTTTTATATTATGAAATAATTGTAAAAAATATTTTTGTTGAATTATAAATATATATTAAATAATTTTAACAAAGAAGTGAGAATAATAATAAAATATGACCTACAATATGACTATATTGAAAACATGGTCGTGAAATGACCTAAAACATGACTGTGTTAAGAACAGAGTCATAAACATGGGCAGGTACATGGTTGTGTTCAGGACATAGACATGAAAAAAAGATAGGAACACGGTCATGTTCAGAAGTGCAGGGTAATTAACACGTCGGTGGCGGTGTTGGCTGCTTGGGAAATCGTCGTGTCTAAGAGTCTCATTTACTTTTTGCTTGTTAATCTAAGGGTCTCACTTATTTTTTTCCGTGTTGATATTCGAATAATAATTATTATATGAAAATATAGTACAAATTAAGATAAAATGACAAAAATACTTTTATTAGTATCTTATAATACTATTATAATGACATTTATGCAAAAGATTATACAAATATAAGAATATTTTTAATATTAAATATAATGATGCAAAAGATAAATAATACCCTTAAAGCTGGACAAATGGAGTATTTTATATTGTGTATGTAAAAAATAAAATACTTTTTTCGTCTAAATTAAATATATTTTTAAAAATCTTCGTTAATTCAACTCAAAGACAAAAGTAATCATATTTAACTATAAAAAACCCATTATTTTTTACAAAATAATCTTCATTTGTTTTTTACTCTCAAAGATGAAAATATAAAAATTATTTTAAATAATTTTTTTTAACTAATAAAATACTCCCTCTGTACATTTTTTAATGTTCTCTTTGATATTTACACGTATTTTTAGGTAATTAAGATTTTTGTTATAAAATGATAAATTTGTCCTTAATCTTGTGTATAGAAAAAGAAAAAGTGAATAAAGTAAGAGCAAAAGAGTAATTTTTGTGTATAAAAATAAAAAGAAGACAATAATTATTGGACATTTCAAATAGAATAGTAGGACGTTAGTTTGTGTACTGAGGGAGTATTATTATTTTAAAATTTTATATATATATATAAAAAAGATAAGAAGTATAAATTAAAAATTTGTCACGGAGGAGTGTTCACTTTGATTTAACATGATAATAGCAACATTTGAGGAGTGATAAGCATTCCTTCCTTCTACCTTCATAATAGCAACACTGCACTGTCCCCTTTATTTAAGTAAGAGAAATTAATTATTATTATTATTATTATCATTTTTGGAAGTAGAAGATCACTCATTTAATTTATAGCCATTCATCCTACTTACTTACTATTGCGGTACACAAGAGCCGTCGATTGTACCTAACCACTTTGGTACAATTCATCTGGGCCGTTCATCCTACTTACCCAACGCACAAGCACAGGCTCGTGCCTCTTCATTCACCAAGTTGCTGTGATGACGTGGTTTCATTCTTCCCACCTACCGGGGGATACCCATATTCAATTTTTAGGGGTGTGTTTGTTCGATAATTGGATTGGATTTATACTATTTATCTAATTTTGTCTTTTTAAAAAATATTAAATTAAACACTTATTTTTTATTTTTTATATTGTACTAAAAATTAATTTTACATTCAAAATATTACATCAACACCTATTTATATCACATCATACAACTATTCAAATTCAAAATTTGTACGGTTCAAATTCCAATTTAAAATCCAAACCACCAAACAAACACACCCACGTGTATTTTTTAATAAAATTGTTTTTCATATTTTTTCATTTAATATTATAAAAATATAAACTATTATATATATTTACGTAAAATATATAATATGTTATCATTTTAAAATTATTTAATAATTTAGTACAATATTTCATTTTTTTGTTAATTCTAGCATTAAAAAATAATTCAAATCTAAAACAAAAAATCACGTTTTTTTTCTTCTTAAATTTATACAAGAAACAAATAAAAAAATAAAAAAAGTTCGTGGGTATGTGTGTATTCTTAAGGTATGTATTAATAATATATAAATAATAATTGTGTAGTAAATTAATATTTTTTTAATATTAGAAAATTTTGACAAAACAAACAAACCTTACTTTTGATACATTTTAATTTCTTTTTATTTTTTATTATAAAATATTATTCTCTCCGTCTCATATAATATGGTCATGTTAGTATAGATGTGAGAATTTAGATAAAGTATAATTAATAGGTAATTAAAAAATATTTTAGTAAAAATAACTATTGTACAATAGTAATAATTATAGATTAAAATTAAGATAAGTAAATAATTTAATTATAATTAAAAAAATTATAAAATTGAAAATTGGATTAAAGTGTATAATTATATTTTAAAAAATGAAAACACAAATTATGTGGACGTATAAAAATAGAAAATATAGACAAATTATGTGGAACGGATGGTATATTTCATATAATCTATCGGTCTCAAAGCCAAATTAATAATTTTTGGGTGATTTTTAATAAAAATAATTTTTGTAAAAATTAAAATATTGTATCAAAGTATTATTAGATTTAAAACTAAAAAAATAATTCAAACCAAAATAAATAACTTATACCAAATAAATATATTTTTAAAAAACACCAAAACGAAACGCAGTAGTTGTAGTTTTGTGAAATATGATTTTAGAAATTTTGAAACAAAAGTAATCTATATTCTATATATTATATATTTGACATCAATCCTTCGTTATTG